CGCTAACTCTATACGTTTTCTTGCAATATCTTGGGTAACAAATCGTAAGTCGTACATGTTATGCTGATTAAAACAAGTAATAAATAAATAATACCCGTATCAGTCAAAAAGAACGTCGTTATTTTACCGTTGATGAAATTGCTAATAATCGATCACCTATATCTAATTGATTATTAGTTTGATGTTTATCGATACGTTTAATAAATATACCATGATCTCTAAAATAGCAATAGAAAAACAAAAGATTCTAACAGCAAAAAAAAACATGTCAGTAGAATCTACTTTGCAATATATTCACTTCCAAGTCCGCCTACAATCCCAATGCCTAGTTTTCCAGTATGTTCCAATTCGATCTTTTCAGTAATTCGTGGTGACAAACGTCGTATTAACTGAATAAAGCGATCCAAAAATGCATTAAAACGGAAGACTCAACACATTCATCTTGTTCTACTCACCAATTTAATATTCTCTCCCACTCCACTCAGTATATCAAGAACATCCTGCTGTTTCATATTTGTCACATCAATATTATTTATACGCAATATGATGTCATATAATCTGAAGTGACAGACTAGTGATTGAAATAGATCACTGACAGAATGCACACTTTCTTACTGTAATTGTTGATCTCTATGTGCAAGACCATTTTCAACTATATGTGTGACGATTATCGATTTAAAACTGGGATGAAGGAAAGGTTTATCAGTACCTCCAGCAATTGTGATTCCTAATGATTTGTCGCCGCTATTTGGCTTAAAAAAAAACAAGTTTAGAATGCATACATAAAAAAAATGTTACAAACTCTTTTAAGACTAATTTCTTCCAAGTGCCAATGATTTTCATAATTGAATTGCGTCATATCAGTCGTGATACTGAATAAAAAATGATATTTTTATATACTTCTTTTATGTAGAAGAACAAAATATGTATAGTAAACAGAAGTGTAGTCAGAGTGATTTCTGTTTACGAAGGTAAAATATAAAAGACGCAAGGAGAAATATAAAAAAAAAAGAACAAACGAAAAAGAGTTTTATTCAGTATTCAAGATTAAAAGCACTTTTCTGCTTGCATAGGATCGATGAAGTGGAGAAAAACAAGCTGTATGTATTAATCATATTTTCTCCTTGAAAAAAAAGCATCGCTCTTCAACTTACATCTGTATGACGCGTGTAAAAATCATTTATTTTCTTTCACTACTGTGAGACAGATTTTAATAAAACACATTACAGAAATATTAACTTTCACGCGGGTCGTTTAGAAAACTAAAAATTGCAGAGCCAGACCCCGCCATGATTTGAAAACAGTCAGCACCATGAAAAAAATTTCCCATCAGTGACAATAGAAACCACCATTCCAGCGAGGCCCTATGATATTTCTATGAGCATCCAGGTAAAAACAACTATGCTCCATATCTTATTTACCCAGACAAGGAGACGTGCAAACATAATATTTCTGCAGTTAGAACTACAAAAAAAATTAAGCTCTCTATCACTTAGTGCCACGGAGATCTCAATGGCCCAATATGCCATAGCGAGACCTTTTGGACTATGGCACAGTGGAGAGCCAGACGAGCATATGCGAAAATATTCTTTTTCAAAATTTAACTGTTGGCATAGATGCATACATATGCGTTCTATCATTTTCTAAAGTAGCATTTCTGAAAGTTGTATAGAATTCTAGAAACGAGCCTGTCAAGGCTTTGGTTGAGAAATCGACATAAATAAAGAAAGTGAAGCTGCTCGGCAATATAACACAATATTTCACAAGTAAACAATACAACAAAAATCTTGCTCACCCGCGGGCTTTATGTTAACAAAAATATGATCATAATCCAATTTAAAATAGAGTAGAAAACAAAGAGTCTGTATACCGAAAA